CCACGAGCGAAACTATCAATCACCACATTTTTCCGATATAATTGTCCCTCTAAGTACACACATTGCTCTAGGAGACGGTCACATTCCTTACATTCTGGTAAAGGTATAGGCACGGGTGCTTCTTCCATCTCTTTGATCTTGTCTCGGAGTCTTGCATTTTCCTTCAGTACTTCGGTCATTTGATCTTCTTTCACTTCCAACTCCATCCTAGCAACTTTGAATAGGTTTCCTAATTCCTTGACCTTGGCCTTGTTCCTATTGTTAGCCATCTGAAATTTCAAAGTTTCTTGCCGATTCCTTTCTGCGTCAGTGAGGGCTATCTGATACTCTTCTGTAGACACAGAAAAGTCTTCATTTCTAGGTCGTTTCTTGGAACTACTTTCCCCCTCATACTCTTTCAGCTGACGGGCCAAGTCCCTTTTCTTTTCTGTTAGAAAATAGATTTCCATCTTTTTGTCTTCCAAGTTCTGGCGGAGGTCCCTATTTTCCAATTGTACTTGATAGAAGCGTTCTTTAGGCACATTGTGCAGCAACTCGGTGGGTTGAAGATACAAGGAAATCTCTTTTTCAAAAGGTAACATAAGAGTTTTAACTCTTTCCTTTAGCCAATTCACGTAAGGATCGAAAGCTAGTGCTTCTTTTGGCCCAAAGAATTCCTTTCCTTTCTTTCCAATATGTGCCCAAGCAATCTCCACCCTTTTTAGCAATTCTGGGTCTTCTCCTTTTTTGAGAAACATAGGTTCAACCTCCTTGGTTGTGGGTGGACGCCTCATGGCATAACCTAATTGGCAAAGAGAGAGTACCGAATTGTAGTTGATAACCCCTCTGGTTCCCATGAGTGGAACATTAGAGAAACCTGCACAGTGGGAGATGACTTCGGAGCTATCCACCTTAATTTTGTACCATTGAATGTCGAAAGAGGTGAGTGTCATCACTTTTGATGCCCATGAGCGAGGATCTTCTTTGAATGGCCCTTTGGTGGGTAACTGCGCCATGAACCATTTGTAAAGCATTGGTATACAACATACCACTACTCCTTTCTTTCCATGCCTGGAGTGGATGGCGTGGTAAGTATCTGCTAATAGCGTAGGTATAGGATTCTTATTCATGAAGACGCACAGATAAGCCAAGTCCACGATTTCTTTAATCTCAGGAAATAAGACAACTCCGTAAATAATGGTGGCCAACAGAGCATAATAAGCATCCCAATTTCCCATATTCGCCATTTCCTTAGCCTTACTTGCCAAGAAATTTGTAGGAAGACCGGAAGTGACTTTGTTGCGTCTCCATTTTCCTTTTACATCGTTAAGGCTCAAATAAAGAACCTTAGCAATAGCCTCAAAATCAGGTTCAATAGGGATTTGAACAAATGGAACATGGCCGGTGAGCTTAATGTGGAGAAGATGAGCATACTCCTCAAGAGTAGGTGCTAACTGGTAGTCTTGGAATGTGAAGCATCTCAACTCTGGATCATAAAATTGTAACAACGTCTGTACAGCCTTGTCGTTAACCCGAGCATCCAGCAAAGATAGGAGATTCCCATATCTTTCACCAAAAACGCCCATTTGTTGACAATTCATGAGGTCTCTGAGCTCTTCAAGAGAGGTCCAAGTACTAGGACGAAACTGATAGCTGAAATTATCCCTCTTCGTCTTTGGGGTAACATCAGTTTTGTTCACACACACACACACACACACACACACACACACATATATATATATATATATATATATATATATATATATATATATATATATATATATATATATATATATATATATATATATATATATATATATATATTTTCGAAAGGTAAATATGCCATGATGTGTGTGCAAGTGATCATGGGGTTACTACTTCCATGATATTGATTTCTGTTGTACTGCCTCTTCGTATCCTTGTCAATACCGAGATTACAGGTCTGAAATGTAACTGGAAGAGGACCATGAAGATCAAAGATAAATCCTCAGAAAATAAATCTGAGAACACCAAAAGTAATCGTCTGAATATAGTCACCAACTGTACCTGTAATGATAAATCCCTCCCTACTCACGTGTGAAGACTAGGTCAGGGTGAGATAATGGTAACTCGAAAATCACGGGTCCGCATGAAAGTAAAATCATCGCAACACAGACGTGCATGATGAAAGTACCTTCAATTGAACCTCATCCGAGCATGGTATATGACATGACTGCACTAATCGGACCACGTCCTATAGCTGTCATGCCCCCACTCTATTCCTAAGTGTCCTAGTGCACTTTGGCCTGGGTACTGGGCCTTTTACCTCAATAGTAACATTCCCACTCAAGCGAGAAGCAGATACAGTACAACAGCAGTATATGGAAGGCAGTAGAGTGTAATACATGCATATGCACAGGTATATTTAAAAATGAATGAATGAACTGAAAGCATACAAATAAACACCCTAAGAAAAGAAATCAAGAGCTAGGAGCGACTCCGGGATGGACCAGCATTTGGTCGACCACTTCCCCAGTGAAGTCGCCAGCTGAAACAACCGGCTGAAAATCATCGAACAATGAAGTCGCCATCGAACGTCTTTTATCCCACAGGAAGGGAAAGGTAAACATCGAGAAAACCCGAGAAGGATGAAATCAAGGTCGAACGACCAAGAGATAAGGGTAAGGGAGTCCGTTACGCGAGGGGAAGGTATTAGCACCCCACACACCCGTAGTACTCTACGGTATCCACTCTTGTTATCTATCTTATGGGTGTGTTTAATCTATGCTTACTGTTTATTATACTACTGAAGGGAATGCTTGCAAAAGAAAAGGGAGAAAATGTAGGGAAAATAAAAGTTGTGCTCGCTTGGGCCCTACCCCAATGCCTACGTATCCCTTTTAAGGAATCAGAGCAGCCATAGTTCGGCTTACATGTTTTTGTTTGCTTGTATTTTTTTTACTGAACAGTATTAATTTCGCCTTCTACCGCAACTCGACCGTTGGAGACTTACGCGTCAGCACAGAAGTGAATTAACATGCTCTTCTGAAAAGTTTGGAAAGAAATGTGCCTGGACGCACAAAAAGTTTTGAATTTGTTTGTGTTTGTAATGAACGATATTAATTTCGCCTTCTGCCGCAACTCGACCTTTGGAGACTTACGCGTCAGCACAGAAGTGAATTAACATGTTCTTTCTCAAAAAAAGAGTTTTGAAAGAAAGGAAGGCCCGAAGGCAAAAAGAGCTTTGTGTTTGTCGATATTTTCGCTTTTGGATAATAGCTAGTTAATCTCAAGGGAGAGATTTTAGCCATGTCTCTACTTATTCATGAAATGAGTCTTTGAGAATTGAATCATACCAAAGCTTAGAACAAGAGAATAATAAGGTCGAGAAGAAACCCGCTCATCATCTCTCAAACTTAGCCAAGACATGGTTCTTGTCAGTAAATTTTTATGTATTTTTGAAGTTTGTAAAAAAGGTTTTAGTTTTAGATGCGTATGCAAAAAGGGAAAGAAACATTATAGGGAGACTAGCCTAAACCTGATTCTATCACACTTTATATGATCTATGGGAAAAGATAAATGCGAGGTAAAAATAGAAAGAAAGTATACCAAACGGATACTAGCCCGTAGAGCAAAGCAGAAAAAGCAAAGATACTTGATGTTCTTGCGAGCTGCTAGCACCAACAAAGAAAAGAGTCAGAAACCCCATTACTGAAGCATCTTTTAAGGTGAAAATGAATCACAATCGGCATCTCGAACATATCCATATAAAAACCTGCATAAGACTCGAATCTTGACGAGCAAAGTGAATTACCAGTTTCGAGTAACCGAATAATCATGAATTAATTCACAAAGGCAAAATAATAAAAAGAATATAATAAGTTCTCCTCTTTTCTTTTCTTTTTTTTGATTTAACCATTTGAAATAACAATTAAATAAATGAATAATAATAAAAGGAGAAAAAGAAATAAAAGAATTCCAAAACGACGGTGTTTACTGTAAACGACCCCTTCCAGCTCCTTTACGCAGAAAGCCTTTCTTCTACATGTCGACAATAACAATGGCGATGCCGCCATGACTCCACCCCTTCTCCCCTGTTCCGATTCAACTTTCTTGCTAACACCACCTAACGTCTCCCTCTGAATTCGATTCCTTTGCTTGCTTTCGTCAATTTCTCTTCCTCTATTCCGAATCTAACAACGAAACTTAAGCTCTACATTTCTTTCGATCAAGATTACATGGTGGATTTATCGTTCGCCGCATTTTACCCTTCGCGGTTATGGTACAGACCAAGCAAAAAAAAGTCGTAAAAAGAAGAAGATTGAGGATTACCTATCGAAGGCACGTTGGTAGTGCTTCAGAAATCCAGAGGTGAAGTAATACAGTTATTGTCCTTCTTGATCTTGTCTGCTTCGTCTTGATTCTCTCCTCACTGTCTTCACTTTTTCTTTGGTCCGGAAGTTGCGTGCGTTGGCGATAGGAGAAGAGCGGAAATGATGACAATTATGAAGATTATCGCAAGTTGAGAAAAATGAACTTTGTATGATGAATCAGAGAGAAGTGAAGCTTTGAGAACTAACTGAAGGTCAAACAATGGAGAGTGGAGGTGAAGACGGAGTTTAGAGAGGGGAAATTGAAGATTATGAGAGTTCAGAAAAATTGAGAGTGAATGATGGAGAGGGAAGAAGTTGTTTTGAAGCTGATACAATGATGAAGTTTTGAAACTGGAGAAGAGAGAGTGACCTCGTCCCCTCAAACTTGGAGGGAGTTTGGATTATATAGGTAGTTGAGGGAGGAAACGGTTATGTGGGAATCAATCTGAACCATTGATTTGGATAGAGTTTGTTATGGATTGAAGGGTGAGATTGAGAGTTGGTTACAAGGTGGTTATGCTAGTTGGGAATTCTGTTTTCCTGGATATGAACCTCTTTACTATTATATGACTAGTATCCTTTAAACTTTTTAACTTTCACCCTCATGACATGACCTTATCAAGTTAGAAAAATGAATGAGTAGATTCCAATCTTAAAAATAATATATCATCAGAGTTGCAATGCAAGATTTGGCTGTAGCTGAGGACCAGTTTCGATATTGGAGCTCCATGAATTTGTTGCCTCAATCATCCTATTCAAGTCACTAGCATGTGAAAAAGAACTCTGTGGCTTAGTATGAGTTTCTGATCCTTGCCAAGACGAATTTCCGGCTAGCCCCTAAGACGATCTTCGTGACTCAAACCCAGATTCCAGACCTGATAAATTGTTGGAATCTGATTGACTTGAGTTGTTGAAGAATTGGGCCTTGAGAGCTGTCGGATTAACATTTGTAGGAGCAGTTTGACTGGACAAATTGTGTATGGTATCCATGTCTAACATTTGAGGAGCATTACTGGCTTTTGAAGAACCGGTTATGTCAGCAAGTCTTACCATCTTCATTTGAGGTGAAAAATTAGAGCCTAATCGTCCATTTGAACCAAAATCATCAGACTGCACCATGGGTTCCTGCTGAATCATCCCATGAATCATGGATTCATTCCTGCCACTAATACTGCTGCTTGGATTCATTTCGTTTTGGTAACCGAATTCTCTGTTCATTACCATATCTCTACTTTGAAATGGTGATGCATTTGCAAGAGAGAACATTCTTGATGGAGAAGAAAATCTACTTCTGGCTTTATAATCACATTTCCCAACAAGGACGTCCATTATGATATTTTCCAACTGGAACACAAGTTGCATAGGATCCATCCTCGATCTCATCAGCTTTAGAGCTCTTATAACTGTATTTATGGTGTCAGGTGATAGGGCCAAATCTAGCAAATCAAACAATTCATCATCCAAAACAATCCCGGTAAGCTCATAAACTAAAGAAATGTTAATCTTTTTACCAAGCAAACTTAGCTGATCAAGCAGAATTTCTGCATCCTTAACAGAACCACAGGATTGAATACGAGTTGTAAAATTTCAAAGCGGACAACATTTTTAGAAAGATGTTTTACATTGGTCTTGTCAGCTGTCACAGGTGAAATGGTGGTCTGGCCAATTAACTGCCCAACATCATTGTTGTACCCCAAAATTTGCCCTCCCATATTCTTCAAGAAATTGCCAAGCCAAGTCACAAAATTCCCCAGAGGTTGCACAGTGCAAAGGTCTCCTATACAGTCAAAACTAGGGTTTGTGTTCTGATCAAGAAATTGAAGGTTTCAAAGGCCCAATCAAGTCTCACATGCCTACAAATATGGTCAAATATCTTCATATCAAGTTTCAAGGCATTCAGCTCAAAATTGCACAGTCAAAACCCTAAATTGCACTACAGTCAACTGTAGGGGCAAAATGGTCATTTGGCAGTCAAAAGTTCAAATTTTTGGTCAACATATCATGTTGAAGCCACAAACATCATTTGATCAATGCTTGATCATGATTCTCAAAAGTTGGCTCAGAAATCATCAAGATGCAAAAGTTGCCTTATTTGGACAGCTGAAAAAGTCAACTGAAATTAACCAGGGCATAACTTTCACATGGATTATCAGAAAAATTCCATCCAAGGCTCATTTTGAATAGAAAGACATTTCCTACAACCCATCTTCATACTTCAAGCCCAAGAAATGCTCTCACAAAAAGTTATCAATTTCAACATTATAGGTCATTTTCAAAAGTCAACAAAAAGGGACTTTAAGTCAAAGGCCATAACTTGAGATTGGTAAATCAAAATGACATGGGACCAAAGGCATTGGTTAGAGGACTCACAGACCTTTCCAAAATGTCCAAGAACATGAGAAAAGCTTAAAAATTGAGCAAGTTATGCCTTGTGGAAGTTGGGAAATTTTTGGATATTTTGAAAAGTCAACATTGATTCAAATGACCTAAAATTGCTAATGGGCCCATTTTTCTTCCATGATTCATCATTCTAAGCATATGCACGACCACTTGGCCCAAAGGGAAGTATTTTCTCATTTTTTATTTATTTATTTGAATTATTATTTATATTAATCATTTAAAAATATGAAAAAATATCTAACTTGACCTAACCAATCTTTTTATGCATGTTTTGGACTCAATATTTCGTGCTTAGCTAAATGTGGAAAGAATTGGAGCAATTGGATATGATTTGAACCAAATGCACATGGGAAAAGATATGAAAAAGATCTTAAGAAATCAAATTTCCAAAACCATTAATTCAAGAGATTTTGATCAATATTTTTGACCTAATGCACTCAGTACATAAGCATGATCATAACCCTAATGATGCTAGACAAAAAGCTGCGCAGAAAAGCTCTCTACAAACTTGAAATTTTTCTCCATAAACTCAATTCTGAAAACAAGCTTAGAGGGCGATTCAAGGCCTAATTCCTGTTCCATTAGTTTCCTCAAGCATCATTGGACGTGTTCCAATCAAAAACATCAATTGAAATGCCGTGAAACGGCATCCAGAAGTCAACCTGTCTCACATATTTTTCATTATCGTGTTTTGTATTCTAAGCATTTTCACAGCATTTTATTCATGGATTCTTGTTTATTATGAGATTCTGAAGCTAACTGTTTACATTAATTGCGTTTTTGTGCTATATCCATGATTATGCCATTGATGCAGATTAGGGTTCTTCAACCTTAGAATTAGGGCTTTTGAAATAAAGCAAAATTGGGGGACGAGACCAAAACCATTGAACTTGACGCATCTGGACGAACAGGAACCACCCATCGCGATCAATTTATGAGGCCTTATGGCCTATTCGCTATTTTTCCATATAGCACTTTTAGTAACGTTTAAAAACCGTTGCTTATGTTTATTATATTTTCAGAAAAAAAACACAACGAGGAAGATGACCTCGTGGCAAAGCATGATACGCTGATTTGAAATTCGCGCGCGTTTACCCACTAGCGCGTTGTTTCATATTATATTGTTCGTTGTTTATTTATTTAACAAAATGTTTCAATGGTTCAGCTGGCAAGCGCTCATTGCATTGACATCTAAGACCTGGGTTCGAGCCCCAGGTCTGTGTAATTTCCATATTGTTTTTCATTAACAATTCCTATGCAGCGCCAGCGTTAAGACGTACCATGCATCCTCAAGAATTAATATCCACGCGTCCATCAGAATTAAACCAAAGGCTGAGATTGAAGGTACATCATATACCATGGTCAACGCATGGGCACGCTGCATGGAAAGGTCAAATGGATCAAGGTTATTGGGCCAGAATTTCACAATCAAACCTCCATATTGGGGACTTCCACCCCCCTGGTTTGCAATTTTCTTTATATTTTATTTTCAATTGTTATTTTATTTTCTTTATTGTTTTAATTTAATTAATTGTTTTTTATACAAAATACAAAAACCTCATAAAAATCAGAAAAGATAAAAACATAATAAATAATTTTTATTTCTAATATTTTCATAAATAAATGTATGTAAATAAATTTAGTCTAAATTAGGGTTTGCAATATTAATTCTTTTCATAAAAAAAATCTAAAAAATGTAGAAATAGGTTTAATTAATGTTTTTATTCCTTTTTAATTTTTCTCTTTTTCACAAATAATAATATTTATTTTATTTATTTTTTATAATTAAATTTGCATGAAAATAATTTAGGGTTAATTTAGGTTAAAAACCTCAATATCTTTCTTAATAACTTAAAAATAATTAGAATTAGGTTTAGAATTTTATTTTAATTTTTCTATTAAATCTTCAAAAACATAAAAATACCAAAAACAAAAACAAAATTCTTGCTTTCTTTTAATTTTAATTTTAATTCCTCGTTAATTTTAATTTTTTGCAAAAGGGTCCAACGCCCATGTTCTTAATTCTCATTAATTCGCGTATTTATTTTATTGCTTAAATAATTATGTATCTCTCCCGAAGCCTTGTAAATAATTACTTCTCGCACTTTTTAATTCTTTACTTTCTGTCAAATCGGGTCCGGTTTAATTTTGGCGATGTGGACCCGCGCCATTTGTAATAGCTTTAGATTTATTTTCCTCGCAAATATTTTTTAACTGTTAAACAAAGCATGCAAGAATGAGTGGCCTAAATAAAAGCAATGCGTAGAACACCAAAGACATGACAAGACAAATATCAATGAAAACGACACACGAATCGCACACACCACCCCTAGGGTACGCCTCACTGTTGCCTTGCCTCGAAAGATGATCGTCGAGTAGAGGACGTCTTAGTAAGTCCTCATGATCCGGGAACCTGGCATGAGGGTAGCTTCTAAGGTGTCTTCCCATTGCTCTGGTGATCACCATGTCCCGAACCTCGAATTGACCCGAACACCTCCAATGGTGGTGCTACCTACCTCTCAATGATGGGATGGCACTACTTTAAAGGACATTTACACGGACGAATTCCTTAGGGTAGGTAGGTTCTCGTAGATACTTGCTCTAATTTCAAAACAAATTCAAAAATACTTTTCACACCGACACCTTTTCAAAAAGCTTTCGAAAGCATTTTTCAAACACTCTTGAGGACCGATACAAGAGTCGAACTGAAATTTTCAAAGAAACTTTTTAAAACCCACAGTTGAAAAGCAAACAAACCATTTTTGAAAACACAATGAGCAAGTATCTAAGAGCCCATGGATAACCATGGATAGAAAGGGTGCTAACACCTTCCCTTTCTATAACCTACCTCCCGAACCGAGAGCAATCTCTTTAAGGAATTTTTCTGTGCTTTTGTCCTTTCCATTTGGAGAAAATAAAAGACGGTGGCGACTCTTGCTTCCGCGACATTTCGCGAACCAGCGTTAAACAGTCAGTTCCAGATCCACCGATCACAGAACTGGCGACTCTGCTGGGGACTCTTATAAAGTGAGGTGTACCTTAGGGCTTAGTTCATAACTGTGTTTTCAATTGTATTGACTTGCTTGCTTTAAATTGTGGGTTGCTTGGGAGTTCTATAGATCCTAACCCGGATTTGGGGATACCTTCTTAGAAAGTAGCAACTGGGCTGTGAGGGAACTGTGCGGGGTATACCGACATGGTTGAAACAGTCTGCTACGTTGATGTGGCACTTTGGTGTGTACCGGTAACCCTTGAGTTCAGTCAAGGAGAGTACGGGGCCTCCGCGTGGTGTCATGAAGCATCAACAGACCTTAGGAACCTTAATTGAACTATCTTGGCCTCTTTAGGGTAGTGAGATAACTGACTTTGGTGCAGTCCGAGGTTGGTTGATACTCGATACTACGCTCAATTAAGGGTTGCTTTCCTGGAATATTTCGGTCGCCAGTTCAGTGGCTAAATCGAAACGATGAACAATGAAAGCAATCCCGTGATATTGGGACCCTTAGAACCCGGTTACTTCTAATAGGACAGGTTGAGCCCACCAACTTCAAGAGGGTAATACCCAGACCTCATGCTGGCCTTAAACTCTAAGGGCTTCTCTTGTGTGACTTGTGTGCCTTCGTACTTGACTACTTGCATGCTTTATCTGACACATGAACTATTTGCAGGTTTTGTTTTGGTCCTTAATTGGGACCCATGACAGGGCTTACTAAGTTTCTTGCAGGCTTCGTTTATAGTCCTTAATTGGGACGCATGACAGGTTTTACTTGAGTTTCTTGCAGGTTTTGGTTTGCAGTCCTTAATTAGGGACTCATAACAGGGTTTACCTACGTTACCCCATGCATAGCATGACATCATACCATTGCATACCATTGCATACATCCTAACCCATTTCAAGGATCTCAAGGGCTTGTGATGCAGGTCATGATAAATCAAACATCTAGCCAGGGGAAAAGAGGATTCATTTTCCTCTAGCCAAGGTTGTCAGGGGCTATGACCCACTTGATATGGTGAGCTCTGACTCTTGAAGAGGGTTCCCCTAACCAAAGTTGTTTGGAAATCAAAACCAGACATGATGATTAAAGTCAGGGGCTATGACCCACTGGATATGGTGAGCCTTTGACCCTTGGAAGAAAGACTCTCAACAAATATGAAGTTCTTTCAATCAAGCTACCGGATCCAAATGCTAACAAATTTTTTTTGTCTACCCCGCAAGGTCCTTGAAAACATTACATGCATGTCATACATCTCATTGCATTGCAGGTATCCCTTTGACAGGTTGCTTACCCTTCTTCGCTGTTTATTTCAGCCG